ATCGGATTGTTCAACCCAAGTTGCACCCCAATTATTGTTTACCTCGTTGCAAAGCTCAAAAAATAAAAGCAAATGTGATCTACGGTTCAAATTGCAAGGAAAGCTCCTCAACGGTCCTTAGTGATTAATTTTCAGTATAATATCGAAAAAGTAAATATCGGTATCATTTTAGGGAGAAAAATAAGGAAAAACTTGAGCAATGTGTAATGTAGAAGAAAGAAGAACAAAAACTGAAACAACGTGTAAGCCAATATCCTGATAAATCTCCTTAAATCAGATTTATTGCTTTCTGATCATCCTTTCTTTCTAAAACTGGGGAAACACTCTTTATCGCGTTCGACTTCTCTGAATTTCTACATCACGAGCATCTGAAGGTTGAAGGATGGGGCTGATGGGGGCGTGTAACATCACCCTCCATGACGTATGTATGCACTGGGTCTATTGTCTAACACAATTCAATGCAACTGCCAAATGGTTTTTACAACTTGATCATATACTACATGTTGTACTCGTGATCTTGGTTTGCCAAAAGTTTCTTGAACTTTCAACTAATGTAAAAGCTTAAGCATATAGACAAATGTAAAATAAATATTTATTTAATGCTCCCCTCGCATAAAGCCTTTCTTGGGTCGTCTCTCCACACAATTATCAACTCATCTTAAAGGAGCCGACTACAATTCAGTTGTTTAGCGTTTCGGTATCGTACCGAAAAGCTGTGAGGCGCAAAAGACAGCTGATCCTGCCATGTGTAAAAGCAAAAGGAAAGGCAACTGGTTTTGCCGGTTGTTTTTTTGTAGATTATCTTTATATGCAAACAATAGTACAACATTTGCAACAGCGTTGAAAAAAATATAACATCAATAGAAAATTTACAACAGTGGACAAATTTACCACATCAATGAAAATTTTACAACATCAATAAAAAATTTACAATAATAGTGGATAAAACTACAACAGTAATAGTTAGACTTTAACCAATATGGTAGTAAAAATATGATTAACACATTTAGCCACATTTTTCGTAAATACGATATTAGTGCATTCCACTAATTATCATAAATTTATCTTTAATCTTGTATTATTATTCACGGTTCTCGTAATATTAACCAAAATGAAAATAAAATTAGTCAATATACTAATAAATTTAACCACAATCATTTTAAGCTTACAACATTTGTGGAAAAAATTACTATAATAGTAAACAAAATTACATCAGTGAAAATTTTACGACAATAGTGGACAAAATTACCATAATATTGAAAATTTTATAGCAGTAGTGAAAATTTTACAACATTAATGAACAAAATTACAATAGTGGTAAAAAAATTAATAACAGTAGTGGACAAAATTACCATAATATTGGATAAAATTATAATATCAGTGAAAAATTTATAACAGTAATAGGCAAAATTACTAAAGTAGTGAGCAAACTTTATAAAAGTATAATTGACACATTTAACCACATTTGTCGTAAATATAACACTAGTGTATCTCACTGATGTCATATATTTACTTTTAAGTTTATATTATTATTCACAATTATCGTAACATTTACCAAAATAAAAGTAAAATTGGTATATATACTAATAATATTATCTATAATTATTCTAACTTAACCCTAGGCTATACTAAAATTTTCTTTTGATGTTGTAATGTTAGCCTAACTAAGGTAAATGTGTCCACCATAATTTTAACTTAATTTTCTTTTCTCGTAAATTTACCCTCAATCCTCATAATGTTATCTAAAATTATCGTGATATTAGCCAAAATAGTGATCTAAACATATAAATTTATTCACAATTATAATAACTCACACTCAAATGTGGTAAATGTACCCTCAATTATAATAAATTGCCCATTATTTTGGCAAATCTTACCACAACAGTTGTAATAATATCCTTAACGATATTAAATTAAACCAATATGATGATAAAAGTATTAATTGACACTTTTAATTATATTTTTTGTAAATACGTTACTAGTGCATCCCATAGGTGTCGTACATTTACCTTTATGTTTGTAAAATTATCCACGACTATTGTTTGAACCAAATTAATGATAAAATTTTCTTATATACTAGTAATCTTACCCATAATCATAGGATTTAACTCTAAATTATAGTAAATGTTTCTTTTAAATTTATTTTATTACCCATGGTTATCATAATATTAACAAAAATAAAAGTAAACTTCACGTATGTGCTAATAAATTTATTCACAATCATTGTAAGTTAACCCTAAACTATAATAAATTTACCCTTGATCATCGTAAACTTACCCACATATGTCTTAAATATTACCAAAACAGTCGTAAATGGTCCTCAGAAATTGTAAATATGTTCATAAATTTGGTATGCTTATCCACAACGATGGTAAATTTTCCCTTAATTGTGATAGACTGACCCTCAAAGGTGGTAAATTTTTCCTTAGTTTGTGATAAATTTATCCACAATGGTTGTAAAATTGACCCACAAAGGTGGTAATTATGTTCTTAATTGTTGTAAACTGATCCTCACATTTAATAAATCTAATTATGGTAAATTGCCCACGATTTTGGTAAATTTTACTACAACAAAGATAATATTATCCTTAAAAATATTAAATCTAACCAATATGGTGTTAATATTATCCAAAATGTTTGTGATCGATCATCAACATCTAGGTTTCAGTAAAACTCACTTCTATGAACTTGCGGTCAATCATAGACGTTTGTGATAGATACCAAACTAAATGTTTTTTAATAACATTAGTTGTACATTACCAAATTTGCGCGAGGAAACCACATTTGGTGGAGACTACAATAACTCTATTGTAGATCTCAGGTTCTTGTGATAGATCTCAAACATTCATAAATTTAATTTCATCAACTCAAAATTTCGTCAATTCAAAATTCACTTTCACCGAAATTAAAATAAAATTCAACTTCAATTTATTTATTAAAATTAAATAAATATTAATTTTATTTATAAAATTAATACTAAATTTATTTATAAAATTAATACTAAATTGACCACCAATTTTACCAAATAAATATTAAAACTCATGAATTTAATGTTTACATTCATGCAATTGAGATCCAATTCATCAAATTAACTCCAAATGAACATTTAATTTCGTCAATTTGAAATTCAATTTCATCAAATTAACATCAAATTCACCTTCAATTTTATTTATTAAAATTCAATTTCATCAAATTATCACCAAATTGACCGTCAATTCCATCAAATTAAAATTAAATTTCATTAAATTAAAACTAAATTCACCTTCGGTTTAATTTTTTTAAGAAAAATTTCAACCACACATTTTCTAGTTCATCATATCTTCAAGGACACTTTCACTATTATTCAAAGTATCACTAACTCCTCTTCTAGTTTATATTTAAATATTATCGACATCCCTTGTCATTAAACTACCATTTCTAATATAAAAATAATCATTTAAAATACCAAAATTACCCCTATATAAATCCAAACAATCTTTCTGCATAAAATTCAATCAAAATTTATTTTTTTACATATTCAAATTTGAATTGATTAAAATTTGATTTGAACTGATTAAATTTTAATTTTTTACATATTAAAAATTGGGCCTATTAAAATTTATTTTTTACATATTAAAATTTGAGCATATTTACGTTTTACCTAAGCTATTAGCGTCGCTTAAAATTTGCTTTGAGCTGATTAAAATTTGTGTCAATTAAAATTCGATTCAAGTTCAGTAAAATTCATTTTTTCGTATTAAAATTTATATTTTTCTGTATATCAAAATTTAGGCCTATTAAAATTCAATATGAGTTGATTAAAATTTGATTTGAGCCGATTAAAAAAATTATAATCAGCCTGAATAGAATTTTAATCGGTACAAATTTTTAACATGTAAAAAAATATAATTTTTAATCTAGTCAAATTTTAATAGTAAAAAATAAATTTTAATTAGGTTGAATCGAATTTTAATCGATTTAAAATTTGAAAACGGAACGGTTTCACTGAAAATATATCTATCTAGAGGGTGTGTGGATGAATTTTTTTTCTAAAATATAATATGACTAATTTAGTAAAATTTCATTTTATTTAACACCTGAAATCTGATAGGAGATATCAGTGAAAATGTAAAAAATAGAGTGGGTGTCTTTAAAGATATGATAAAGCAGAAGGGGTGTGGCTGTAATATTCTCATTTATTTATACTTTCATAAAATTAACACCATACAGACAACATATTTTATAAAATTTACATAAAAATTCATGAATTTAACATTTAATTTTATCCATTAAATCAACACTAAAATAACATTCGATATCATCAATTTAAAATTTAATTTCATCTAATTTACAATCATTTTTATTTATTAAAACCAAATTCTATCAAATTAACTCTAAATTGACGATTAATTTTATCAAATTAACATTAAATTTCATTTTATTGTGATTCAACTCATCAAAGAAACACCAAATTAATATTCAATTTTATCGTGTTAAAATTCAATTTCATCAAATTAATATCAGATTTATCTTCAATTTTATTTATTAGAATCCAATTTCATTAAATTAACACAAAATTAACATTAATTTTCTAAAATTAACATAAAAATTCGTGAATCTAAAATTTAATTTCGTCCAATTGAGATCCAATTCATTAAACTAATACTAAAATAATTGTTAAGTTTATCAAGGTAACATTGAAATGTAACTACATTTGTTCACGATTCTGGCCTCTAGCTCGAGCAACTTGAAGACAAAAGCACAAGAAAAAAGATGAGAGATCTTCGTCCCCAACCTCCTTGAATCCCTAGCTTCTACCCACCTTTTTCTGTCTTCTCCTTCGCTTATCTTCTGCAATTGATCTCCTTTTCCTTCTTTGGTTTTCATCGTGGCCATTCTTATGCTCTTTCCACTGTCTTAAACCTCATTCTTTCCCCAAATCTGATGCAACCTTCATTCATTCCTTCCACGACTTTCCCACCACGCTAACCAACCAAACACCTGAAGCTACCATATCTAAAATGTCAGACCAGATACCCACTGGAACTTTCCTAGAAGTCTCCAAAGTTTCAAAAGCTTACCCAGCTACTGATTGTTTAACCTCATCATTGCCTCCATGTAACCCTAGTCCTAATGGTGGGGAATCAACCTTTAAAGACATCCCAAATGGTTCTACACTTTGCACAGTGAATACGAAGACTGTAAAAGCTACTTTTGAAAATGGAGTACAGTCACTAAAAGACTTAGCAAAAAGGAGGAACATGGAAGGTGAAACTCACGCGCCACTAGGTGAGAAAAGTTCTCATGTTATTTCCATTTCCCAAGATTCTGCTATACTGTCAAAGCAAGCACAGTCTACCACTATGGGTATGGTTGGCTTGCCAGCAAAAACCCCCCACCCCCATACCCTCATCAGCCGATGAAAGGTGTGATAAGAATACACAGGCTACATGGTGCAGTGTGCTGAAAAAAGGAACTACAATGGATTCGGGTCATGGAGCTCCTTCTATAACCCACAACCACATGAAATTAAAACATTTTGAACCTCAAGGAGATGGGTCCAAAATAGTGGTGGCCCCACCACCAACGGTTGCAGATACGGGTTGTAAGAATTGGGAAAACAGCATGGTTGGTTACTTTATTGAAAAGAGTTTGCCATTTTCAGTGGTTAAGATGATTTTCCAAAGGACGTGGAATGCTCAGGGCCTCATAGAGGTGCTTGCTAATGAGCAAGGTTGCTTCTTTTTCAAATTCTCTGATGATATTTCAAGATCTAGAGTCCTTGAAGATGGCCTCTGGTTATTCTCTGGTAGAACAATGGTCTTCAAGAAATGGCAAAGTAGAATGATTCTTATGAAGGAAGCACACACTAAAGTTCCAGTTTGGGTGAAGCTTTATAATATTCCACTTGAGTATTGGAATGAAGAAGGTCTTAGCTATATTTCCAGTGCAGTTGGGAAACCACTTTATGCTGATGGGCTAACCGAGACACAACAAAGAATTAGCTTTGCCAGGGTATGTGTTGAGATTGATGCTGCTCAAGTTCCCATTGATTCCTTTGAGTTGAAAATGCAAGGTTCCTAACCTGACCAAGCTATGGAGACTGGAAATTATGGTTCAATATCAATGGAAGCCTAAAACTTGTGTTAATTGCAATATTTTTGGCCACACTAGTACAAACTGTGCAAGAAAGCAAGCGTGGACAAGAAAAGAGAAACAAGCTGACAAAGGCAAAGAGATAGCCTCCACTGTTGAAGTTGGCAAAGAAAAGGAGAGTGACAAGGTTGATCAAAGAAATGTGGATAATGGAAGCACAAGTAACCAGATGATGGTCTGTGAGACTACTATCACTGAGCTTCATACCACCACCCCTGCTCCTTAGGTAATTCCAAACATCACCACTAGCAACAAATTTGATAATCTTGTTATTGAACTGCAAGGTCCTGTGCAATTAGATTTGGAAAAATCTGCTTCTGCTGAATCAAGTGTTCTGGCTACAAAAATTAAGAACATTGATAGTATACCAATTGGGCAACTAAGGAAAAAGCACAAGTCACCAAATAGAGGTAAAAGGGGGATTTCTACATCCCAAGGCCCCCATCCACCAAGACATAAATGATCAATTTTGCATGTTGGAATATTAGGGGATTGAACTTTCCCCCTAAACAATTGGAGGTTCGAAAGCTTATTTTTGAACATCAGCTGAATTTGGTTGGTATAATTGAAACCAAAGTCAAGGCTGTTAATAAGGGTAGCATTATGAGAGCTGTCTTCAGAGGCTGGGACTTCTTTGATAATTATTCTGGTCATATTCTTGGTAGAATCTGGGTTGGTTGGAACCCATATTCTCTGGATTTTCAAAATTGAAGAAATGGATCAAGTTGTTCACTGTGAGGTTCAACATCTTGAAAGTAGGATTGTGTTCCTTGTTTCCTTCATTTATGGGGCCAATGATGATAGAGAAAGGAGGAGACTTTGGAGTAATCTAGAGTCTAATGCTAGGAGCAATATTTCTAGACCATGGGTGGTTTTGGGTGACTTCAATGTGGTAAGAAATATGCAGGAAATTGAAGGGGGGAGCAACAGAAGAACAAAAGCCATGGATGAATTTGAAGAATGTATTCAAATTCTGGTATTGGTGACCTTTGTTTCTCAGGTGTTCTCTTCACTTGGTATAACAGAAGAAACCCTCAAGATTGCACAATTAAAAAACTTGACAGAGTCATGGTTAATGAGGAGTGGAATTTGCTATTCACAAGATCTTCAGCTGATTTTCTTACCTCTGGTATCTCTGATCACAACCCTGCCATTGTCAAGTTAGGACAGAGAACAAGACCAAGGAAATGTCTGTTCAAGTTCTTCAATTTTTTGGCTGATAGAAGTGATTTTCTTGATATTGTCAATAATGCGTGGCATACTAATGTGAGGGGAACAAAGCAATTCCAAGTAAGCCAAAAGCTTAAATTGTTGAAGTATGATTTCTAGAATTATAACAGAGCTCAGGTTGGTGATGTTACTACTAGAGCTAATGAAGCAAGAATTGTTCTAGCCGACTGCCACAGGAAACTTGATGATAAGCCCTTGGACCATGATCTTAGGACTCAAGAGAAGGAGTTGCTTAGGAAATTCTTTGAGGCAATAAGAATTGAAGAGGAGTTCTTAAGACAAAAATCCAGAATTCAATGGCTCAAAGCTGGCGATCAAAACACTTCTTTTTTCTTTAAAGCCGTCACAAGCAAAAGAAACAAATCTAGGATAACTTCTATTAGAAGACAGGATGGTATGATGGCTGAGGGGGATTTGTAGATCAAAGATGAAGCAGTCCATTATTTCTAGAATTTGTTTAGAAGCAGCGGTCATCAATCTACTTCTAGACAAGCTACAATTAGGGACCTTAGCCAGCACACTATTTTTGATGATCAGGCTAGAATGCTTTGCAAGGATGTTACAGGTGCTGAAATCAAAGAGGTATGTTTTTCTCTCCATGCTAATAAAATCCCAAGTCCAGATGGTTTTAATGGATGTTTCTTTCAGAAGGCTTGGCCTATTATTGGGGATGAGGTTATTTCTGCCGTTCAGGAATTTTTTATCACTTGTCAAATGCTCAAGGAAATCAACTCCACAATCATATCACTTATTCCAAAGGTGCCCAATCCCACTACTATGAGTGACTACAGGCCAATTTCTTGTTGCAGCACCCTCTATAAGATTATTTCAAAAATCATTGCCAATAGAATTAAGCCATTTCTACCTGGGCTTATTAGTCCTTTTCAATCTGGTTTTATTGCTGGAAGAAGAATAGGGGATAATATTCTCTTAGTCCAAGAGCTTATGAGGAACTACCACAAGGATCATGGGCCTCCTAGGTGTGCAATAAAAGTGGATCTTATGAAGGCTTATGATATGCTTGAATGTGGCTTCTTGATTGATACTTTAATTGCTCTCAACTTTCCACTGATGATGATCAATTGGATTAAAGCATGTATTTCATCCCCAAAGTTTTCTATCAGTGTTAATGGTGAATTGGCTGGCTACTTTCCTAGTCAAAGAGGTCTTAGGTAGGGGGATCCTATGTCCTCATATCTTTTTGTTATTGGAATGGAAGTTCTAACATAGATCATTATGAGAAATACTCATGCAGCTCAAGCGTTCAAATACCACTGGAGATGCAGCAAACAAAGAATTGCTCAATTGAGTTTTGCAGATAACCTTTTCTTATTATGTCATGGTGATATTAATTCTGCTAGAGTGTTGAAGACTTCTTTGGAGACTTTCGAAGTTCTTTCAGGCCTTAAAGGTAATCCACTAAAGAGCAATATCTTTCTTTTTGGGGTCTCTGAGGCTCAGCAACTACAAATTGTGGAGTGTTTCTGTTTTCCTTTGGGCAACTTACCTATTAGGTACCTGGGTATCCCTATCATCACTATGAAGCTGAGGGTCAATGATTGTGCTACTTTGGTGGAATCTGTTGAGGCAAGAATTAGATCATGGGCTTCTAGATTCCTTTCTTTTGCAAGAAGATTACAACTCATCCACTCAATCCTATCCAATATTCATATCTTCTGGTCTAGTCACTTGATTCTTCCCAAAAGTGTCATTAACAATGTTGAGCAGAAACTAAGGGCCTTTCTTTGGACAGGAGCTGAGCTTAGGACAGTTGGAGCTAAAGTTTCGTGGAAGGAAGTGTGTCTTCCAAAACAAGAAGGTGGTCTGGGTGTTAAGGATCTTAAGGCTTAGAATAAGGCATTAATGCTCAGACACCTTTGGCATTTAATTTCTGATGAAAGTAATATTTGGTCTAAATGGGTGAGAGACTATTATCTAAAAGGAAGAAGCATCTGGACTGTCAAGCCCCCTCACATTTGTTCATGGAATTGGAGGAAACTTTTGAAGATAAGGGATTTTGCTAGACCGTTCTTGCTCCACATTATTGGCGATGGGAGAGAAACATCACTATGGTTTGATAATTGGCATCTTGCTGGTCCACTAATGCTCAGATGGACTCCCAGAATTATGTATGATTCTGGCCTCAATATGAATGCTAAAGTTTGCCATATTATTCATGGTAATCAATGGAGATGGCCCAGGGCTAATGCTAGAAACAACAATGACTTGCTACAAATTGAGGTATCCATACCATCCTACTCTCCTAGACCTGATATGAAAGATATTGTTAAATGGTTGCTTACCCCAATGGCTCCTTCTCCTTTTCTTCTGCCACAATATATATGTTATGGAATGAGAGGAATCGAAGGATATTCAGAAACCAGCAGAAGGATCCTGTGACTGTCCAGCGACTTATTATAAACATTGTCAGGAATAGACTAATGTCGTTGAAGTTTAAGGAAAACATAGAGAATCGAAGAATTGCTCACTCGTGGCAGCTACCCAGTTCTCTTTTTGTTTATGGTGATGATTCTATGCTAATTACATATAATGTTTTTTGGTATAAATCTTTGGAGAATACTGTAAATCTTCAGCATTCTCCCCAGACTAATCATCTATATATATAACCTATATATATTTGTTTTTTGGTTCTTGTCCTGCATGTTTTTGGCAGACAAGTGTTTTTCTTCATTGTATATTCTCATTGGTTATTAATATACTATTTACTTACCCAAAAAAAAGGTAACATTGAAATGCATTAATTAAACTTTTAATTTTAACCAATTGACATCCAATTCATCAAATCAACACTAAATCAGCATTCGATTTCATCAATTTAAAAATTAATTTCAGCAAATTAACATCAAATTCACATTCAAATTTATTTATTAAAAATATTTTCATCAAATTAACACCAAATTGGTCGTCAATTTTATCAAATTAGCAAACTATGTTATCCTTGATAGTCCCAAGTAGGGGTCAGGTGTTTAATTCCTACAAAAAAAGAAGAAGAATTGAACGCAAATTTAATGAAATTGAATGTCAAATTGACAATGAATTGAATGTTAACTTGGTGAAAATGAATGTTAATTGGATAAAAATAAACGTTTATTTTATTTTAATTTGATGAATTAAATGTTAATTGGATAATTTAAAAAAAAATGTTAATTGGATAAAAGTGAATGTTAGTTTTTTTTAATTTAATAAATTAAATATTAATTTGATAAAATTGAATATGAATTTGATGAACTAAATGCTAATTTGTTGAATTTATGTATTAATATTGTGACACCCCAAATTAATGGGGTCCGTTAATTTCCCATCAACCCACGGAATGCCCGTGGATACCGTATAACTCGATATCGTACCGTTGTGTCCCATTTACCGGGATCCATAATTTAACGAAATCTGGGCAGAGTCTCTTTTGTACAGGAAGCTCTACCCCAAAACACAATTTGTGCAATCAACATTTACATGACCCATCCGAGGTCCAATATAATACCATAACCACACAGGGTCTATTTTATACATAAAACTTGACCACACCGGGTCCAATCATCATATTTATATCAAAATATGCAAGGTTATATTAAAACAGTCTATATATACTCTATTACAATTCCTTTACACATTACATGCTAAAATTTAATTACAAATCTACTTTTACAAAAAGAAAATGGATTGGAAGCCACAAGTCGGCTTTTCTTCAACCATGTGACCCTAATTGTGAGCCGTCTATTGGTGCATGACCCACACCTGAAATGTTTCCCGTATAGGGTGAGCCAATACCCAGTAGAATAATCTCTACAGAGGCTACTCATCACCTAAAATGCATATGCAATGTATAAATGCAATATTTCACAACAAGTATTCCCTCCAACAATAACATATAATACAATGTTGAAAAATCATGATGTCATGCCAAGTAATGAGATGAAACTCACCCATGCATGCTATCCCGAGCCCACACCGACTCCCACAACACAATGCGACACTTACGTGTAAAACAAACGTCTTTGATGAAACACATCCAAAGATCATTTTGAAATCAACCATATGTCATAAAACTAATTCATTCTTGGATGTTTCCCATCAAATGAATAATTTATATTTCAAAATCATGTGCCTTTATGGGGTATCGGATTCAGGAATCGCACCTCCGGCTCCGTACCCTGTTACACTTTTCTGAAATTTCACCGCCGGTAAGTGTATGAACCAAGTGGTTGGGTTTTTCACTCGAGGGAGTGTCTAGCCCTACTTGTTATACCCGACACAAGTTTTTTTATGCATGTCACCGTGCGACCCCATAGGACGTTCCATCCCACTTTCCCGAACCTACCATCAAGTACCAATGTTGGTGTTGATCACCCCATGCAACCCTACACCCACACTCATGTATGTAGCCCATGAATGTGATGTTAATTCCATGTCCATATTGCAGTGCATGCCAAATGACAATTTTTAAATATCATTGTATACCATGACAATTAATATCATTTGCATATAATCACATAACCATTTCAAGTTCAATATATCCAAGAGCATATATCAACACTCCAACAACATGATAACACATAATACATGCTAATATTACATTTAATTCACAAGGCATAATATAAAACACAAAGCATGCCCACATGATCCCAATTTCCAAGGGATTACATAAATACTTCCATATACCAAAATCAAGCCAAGATTTTATATGGATCATTCAAACAAAATAAAAATCAGAATATATGATTTTTATATAACCAATTATCTAAACATTCAAGAAATCATAAACTAGCACTTTCTAACTACCAATTCACATTAGAATTGATCCTACCCATTTCCATAGCACCAATCATAATGGAAAAGTATTAGAAATACCCAAAACAGCCCACATGAACCCTATGGACACCTTAGGTTAGAAATAGGTTCGAGTAGGAGGAACCCTACCTCTTGAAGCGTAAAGAATTTGTAGGAAGCCTCAAGAACAAGATTGAAGTCCAAAGCTTAGATTTCTCCAAAATGCTCCCTTTGAATCTTCGGTGAAAATATTTGTTTTTGGTACCCACGCGTAGCTCTCGTCGCATACATCGACTTTAATTCTTGGTCTGACGAATTCCGACCGACGGAACTCCGAGAATCGGCGAAAGAAAACTTGAAGAATTATATTTTTTTCTTCTTTGCTCTTGGGTCTGATCCAGCCGGCCAAATTTTTCAGATATTTGCCAACTTTTACACTTTCTAAACACATGGCCCTCGTCGCGCCAAGTGTCGTCCTTTGTCCGGGTTCGTTTTCATCCCGAAACGATTAAATTTCGTACCGATTTAAGCTCAAAATATTTTATATAAAATTTATTTAAAATATTTTTCAAATTTTCAAATTTTTATAAAAATTTTGTTTTTAGGGGTCATCGAACACCCGTCACCTCGAAAAACGTAAAAATCTGACTATCTCAGAATTCAACGAAATTTATCTGGGTAACTAGATTTCGTGAGACGATTCCAACGGTGAGGTCCGTTTCATCATCCGAGGTCTATAAAAATACCAGTTTTTTTTTAACCCATACTATAATGGCAAATTACCATTTTGCCATTTTTTTTCAGAAAAAGTTAAAAAAAAATTCGGGTTTCACAAATATTATCTCAATTTAAAGATTTGAATGTTAATTGGATGAATTGAATGTTAAGGTGATTTTGGATGTTAATTTGATGTATTGGATGTTAATTTGGTGAATTTGAATATACATTAGAAAAACCGAATTATATTTGGATGAAATTAATTGTTAATTTGTTGCTAACTTGATAAATTGAATGTTAACTCAATGAAATTGAATACTAATTTAGATATTAATTTGATGAAATTGATCTTAATTAGTTGAATTTAAGTATTGATTAAATTAAAATTTATTGTTAATTTTATATTAATATGATGAATTGAATGTTAATTTAATGAATTTGAATGTTAATGTATTGTTAATTTGATAAATTTAATGTTAATTTAACAAAATTTATTTTAGAATCTAAATCATATTTGTGTTAGTTTGATGAATTGAATATTGATTTGCATGAAATTGAATGTTAATATTGATGTTAATGGGATTAATTTGAATAAGAATTGGATAAATTGAATGTTAATTTATGATAATTTAATAAATTAAATATTAATTGGTTGAAATTTAATGCTAATTGTGATATTAGTTTGATGAATTTGATGTTAATTAGTTGAATTTCAATATTAATTAGATTAAACTTTGTTGCTAATTTTATGTTGATTTGACAAATTAAATATTAATTTAATGAATTTGAATGTTAATTTGATAAATTGAATGAAATTGAATATTACTTTGAGAACTTGAATGTCAATTTGGTATTAGTTTGATGAAATAAATATTGATTTACTTGAAATTGAATGTTAACATTGATATTAGTTTGATGAATTCAATGTCAATTATTTGAATTTTAATATTAATTTGATGAATTGAAGGTTACTTTTTTATTAATATGATGTATTGAATGTTAATTGAATAAAATTGAAAATTAATTTTAAGAATTTGAATGTTATTTTATTTTTGGTTTGATAAATTGAATGTTAATTGAATGGAATTAAATATTAATTGGATGAATTGAATACTAATTTGATTAATTTAGATGTCAATTTGATGAATTGAATGTTACTTTAGTATTAATTTAAAGTATTGAGTATTTATTGGATGATTTTAGACGTTAATTTGATGAGTTGATTGTTAATTAGAGGAATTTGAATATAAATTGGATGAATTGAATGTTAATTAAATGAATTGGATAAAATTGAATGTTAATTTGGATTTTAAATTTGATAAATTTCATATTAACCAGTTGATTTTGAATGTTAATTTGTTGAATTAAATGTTACTTTTGTGTTAATTTGATTAATTGAATGTTAATTTATTTTTAATTTGATAAATTTAAAGTTAATTGAATAAAATTGGATGAATTGAATGCAAATTAGATGAATTTGGATGTTAATTTACTATTAATTTGATAAGTTAAATGCTAAGTGGATGAAATTGTATGATACTTTGGTGTTTAATTTGACGATTTGAAAGTTTATTAGATGATTTTGGATGTTGATTTGCGAAATTGAATGTTATTTGGATGAATTTAAAGATTAATTGAGTGAATTAAATTTTAATTTGATGCAATTGAATATTAATTTAATGAATTTTAATGTTATTTGAATAAATTCAATGTTAATTTGATTAATTATATGTTAATTTGATGAACTTGAATATTTTTTAGGGATGATATTATAACGATTTGGGTGAATTATATAATGTTTGAAGGTAATGTTATCAATGTTAAGGACGATGTTACCACATTTACTATAATATTACAATGATTTTGGGTGACATTATTTGTATATAAGGCGAATTTGCCATCATTTTAGGTAAGAATATAAAAACTGATGTATATTTACCTTCAAGTTTATAATATTACCTACATATGTTGTAACTTTAACTAATATAATGGTAAATTTGACTTATAATCTTATAACTTTGTCCACTATTGTTGTAATTAATCTTAAACTGTAGTAAATGTAAACTTAATTGTTATTGATGATGCACAAAATGACTTTACACACCAACTGTCAAGTGATTAAAAATAAATGCAGTAATTTAAAGTAAAGAAAGATGGATGAGACAAGATTTTTAGTGGTTTAGTCAACGTGACCTATGCCCACTCTTGAATGGCTTTGGTCGCCGGATACTTTTATTAGCTCAAGGGTGTGGGGAACAGAGAGTACAAGCTTTAAGGGAGAGGAAAGAGTCGTGCTTAGGTAAAGTGTGATGCCCCCCAAGTGTTGGCGGGGTGTGCAATTTATAGTGGTCCCCTAACAGATTGGGGCTACTTTACAACAACTAAACGATTATTTTGGTGGAGTTCACGACTTCTTCTCAACGGGCGAGGAGATTGGGAAGCTCTCTATGAGATGCGGTTAAAGATAAGGTGAGGGTGGACCGTTTCTTTCTGCGGTGCAGGTAAGGTGTCCATGCTCTCCCTCTTGATGACATAGCCAAGCAGAGAGTCTGACTGGTCTTTGACTATGTTGGGCATGGTGGATCTTTTATGAGGTTGGACTTCTTAATTTGGATTTGGACTTTCCACATAGATTGGGCCATTTGGGCTTGAACTATCATTTTCCCCCCGACGCCCTGTGTTCAAGGAAACTTGGAGAAGTGTACATTAGTTTGCTCCTTGAGTTATAAGTGGTGGAGACTTCCTCTGCTAGATGACTCTTTCCTTCCACAATGTATTTTTGCTTTAGTGCATGCCTCAAGTTTTTTCCACTTTTGCTAGGATTTTTAAGAGAGCCCTTTCAATTTGGGCTTTTCCTTCTTTGAAAATCCTAGGCTATAAATATAACATTTTTCTTCATTCTACCCATTTCTTCCAACCTATTCAAGAGTGCCTCTTCTTGAAATCTCTAGAGACCCAAAGCTTGGGATTCTTGAATTTGAGCATCAATGTTGACTGGAGAGAAAACCCACATTGGTGCTGAAGAGGAGGTGGGTAACAGAAACACCATTGCCGAATTTGCTGTGTATTCGGGCATCTCTCAGATTTTCGTGGGTTCAAACAAGATGGTTGAGGGGAGCCATGGCAATGGAGTGTTTGGCACCTCTCATGGCATTGACCCGAGTGGCTTTGGTGCACAAGGTGGAACTAGAGAGGAGACGGGGGTGCTGCCCAACATGACTTGGGCACCAAAGAATGGGCAATCAGATCTGGCAGCTGGTGGGGCTGTCTAGACTACGGCTAGACGGGCACCGGAGGTTAGCGGGCATGTGGCGGGCGAGCAGCCTAGTCTGGGTGCTGGTCTGCGTAGCATTGGAGAGTTGCCTCATATAATTAGGCGTGCAGAAAGTGTGGTGGACAATATAGGCGAGATGGGCAGTGACCTGGGCGCCAATATGGGCTGCTTGGGGCACTGATAATGTTGTCTTGGATAGCTCTGGCACGATGGGCAGCTGCCTAGGCACTGATAATGTTGTCCTGGATAGCTCTGGCGCTATGGGCAGCTGCTTGGGCACTGCGAATGCTGTCCTGGGCAGCTCAGGCGCACTGGGCAGCAACCTTTTTTTACTTGAAAGTGTAGAAAATCAGGCTAGGGAGTAGCGGGGAGAGTTGGGCAGCAGCCTGGGCGCATTGGCAGATCTGGGTGCCATTCCAGGAGCTAATCTGGGCACCATAGGCACTGATTTGGGCATTAGAGGTGCTGTTTTGCGCAATTTTGAAGGGCTAGACACCTCTCTAGCTACTGGGCTGCCCTGTTTGGGCGAGCAAAGACGGTCAGACACCTTTCCAGGCACTGGGCTACCTCGTTTGGATGAGCAAAGGCGGTCAGGCACCCCTCCAAGCACTGGACTGCCTTGTTTGGACGAGCAAAGGTGGTCAGGCACCTCTCCAAGCATTGGGCTAAACATTGTAGGCGTCAAGGAAGCTTTGGGTGCTGCTTTTGATGATCAGGATTTGATTGTGACTCCTCCAACCCAAGTTCTTCAAGACTTCCTAGATGGTGGCTTAGAGCACTCCCTACGGTCCCGAAAGAAGAAGCGTAAGGCAAGGTGGGACTCGATGATGATGGGTCTAAGGTAAGTACTCTTTCCAGTTTATTCCATTCGGATGAAGATATCTTGAGGCATGTTTATGCTTATCACATTCCTCTGACCGTGCTGTGGCGCCAGGCTGAGACGGGCGAGCTTCCTTGCGACGACTCTTCTAGTGATATTGTTGTTTACGAGAAGATGCTTGAGGCTGGGCTAAGATTCCCCATGTCCTCTCCCATTTGTAGCATTTTGCATTACTTTTCCTTGACTCTAGGGCGATTAGCGCCTAATAGTTGGAGAGTTTTACTAGGCTTTCTTGCATAATGGAGGAAAGTGCATCATGAAGATACTTCTCCTATGTGTAGTTAAATTAAAGCAAGATTTCTCTGCTGATTGCATGAGATTGCTTACCACAGGATCTGGGGCATCGTCCTCCTTGTACATAAGCCATGGGACCTCAATATCCAATTTAGCAACCATTTTTGTAGCCCAAGTCATGTAGGCATAACCAGCTGCAACGTATGCCTTGCTTTCTAGCCCATACTCATTCTCAATCTTCATAAATATAAATTACATATTATAGCAATTTTGGATCGAAATTGTAAACTTCTAACTTGCATGAATATGAATGTGTTTCAGTTTTTCTACCTTTTATGTTAATGGAAATAGAACTACTAACATAGTCAGCAATAACTTTTTGGTGTTGAAAATCTTAATGATGGTTCATGGCATAAATACACCAAAGATATTAGCAAATACCCTAAAGCTGTACCAGGGAGAGGATGATAGGGCCACCTTGAGACTCGAATAACTTTTCATTCTTCATCATTTGGACAATTTGTTTGGGTGAACCCCTGCATTGCCATCTGCAACACCAACAATTAACTGAAAAAATCATGGAAAAATTTATAGAAAAGTTTCTGCAAATTAGTATGTCAAGGCTTTATCAAAAACATATATCTTGCTGGCTTCACCATTAGTCATGTTTTCTTGCTTCTTGCAATGTCCATCACACACACACACACAGTGAGTGAGAGGGAGAGACCTTGAAAGGTTCATTATATGTTCTAAAGCCGATGCCAGGCACATACTTCAACCAAACAGGGAATTCCCTAGAATAAAAACATTCAACACTAGAAATTAAAGAGATTAAAATTCCCCTTCTCAAATCAGGGTCCAAAATTATTCTTACCCAAAATTCCACTTGGCACAAATAAAAGGCCCAATGTGAAGATTCACATATAGTCCTGCTTTCTGAACTAAACCAAGTCATATCTTCCCTCGAAGTTATACTAAAAACCCACAAAGTAAGACACATTTATTAACATAACAGGAGACAAGGGTATCGAAGAACTGCTAAAGATGAAAGTATTTAGTTTGTGTACAGAATGAAATGAAAATAGAATACCAAAAGGGTATCGAAGAACTGCTATAGCCCACTTCTGAAAAGCACTTGTTCCCATACATGCATTAGTTTCAATACAAATGGAGAACAATTGTTCCCATACCTTGTCATCTTTCTCATCGAGTTTCTTGATCATTTACTTGATGTGCTTTAAATCTTCACAGTATTTAACATCCTGTCTTTCAAACTCCTTCAAACAATTCAACACTTACACTATATAGCCAAACAATTGACACTTATCATAAAAAACCACTTAAAAGGCAAACCCCTCAAATCACATATTAAAACAATAATCACACATCAAAAAAAGATGGAATCATACAATATTTAAATACATAACAAAAAGATAATTCATCAGCAACTTTAATGCAGAAGTCCATAATTCATCTGTTATAAAAAAGAAAAAACATACATTAATAAATTATCAATCAAATTTTTCAAAAACACTAAAGTGTTGAACTTAAAACGATAGTAAAAAGATAAAAACTAAGACTCAGATGGCATGTCAGCATTAGTTGAGTTGCCCAGTAGAGCACGTTGCAATTGAAGTTTTATCTGCAAAAGTTGTTGCATCATCTGCTGCTGCTTGTCTTCAAACTTCTACTGTGCATCTTCAAACTTCCCTAGCTTCTCTTTTGTTTCTTCACGTTCCTTCTGAAGAGAATTAACAGTTGCTTGCAACTCTTTTATCATATCAGCTTGATCTTGATATTCAACAGTGCATCTGAATGACTGAGTAGAGAATGAAGGCTTTGAGCCATGTCCAAATCCTTTCTTATATCCAGGTCGGCTACTAATGACTGTGAATGCAATTTCATCCTGTGTCAATGGCTCTACACTTCTAAGTTCTGTGTGGCCAATTCTTTCCTCCGCTCCTGTAATTTAATATATTTAAACCCAATTATTGAGTGTATCATAAAAATTTATTTTAAAAAAAATATTTCTACAATTTGAAATACTTACATATCTTGACTTTGCCTCATCAGAAACCCACTCACCCTTCTTGTTCACATGAGAATTGTGAAAAAAAATCAACAATACGGGGTGGCTCATCAGCCGTAAGATCCCTCTGTTACGGTTAATCAAAATATCAATATTAAAATTTATGAATTTCCTATATATTAAAATTTAGAAAGCAAATGCTAAAGTATAACACCGTTTCATATAGGGTAGACTGAAAGGACTTTGAACCTATTGAGTGGTTGTATGACAGTTTGGCACGATTTTCTACATTTTTCTTAGATTTTGCCTATATACAAAGAATATAATTAGTACATAATTGGGAATCAAAAGTGGATATTAATTTACATAGCTTATAAAAGTTACTTGAAATTTTGGATCCTTGTAAAGTGTATCAATTATGTACTCCCAATCCTCTTGACTCACATCACCATATGGCTTGCTCTTTGGGTCAACACCGGACTCAACCAAATCCTTGTAGTGCATATGCATATAGTATCGATGGTCCCTATACCTCGCAACAAATTGTTTGTCGACAGCATTCCTAACACCAACTTTTTCACGATAGTCTCTAATGTTAAATTTTGTCTACAACAAAATATAAATGTACAAATTAATTACATGTTGTAACACTCTACACAAGTAAATATATTTTGGAAACCAAACAAATATATCCACTAACCAACAAACGTGCAATTAGTGGTGCCTTCTCCCCTTCAGTTATTTGCTTCCATTTGTGGACATTTCTGATAAGGACAAATGTCCTCACCAGGGAGCCAATATCTGTCATCACCTTGGAAGAATGTACACCCACTAGAACACCGACTCCATCAAGAATCAACACATCTAGCGGGCCATGAGCTGCACGAAGACGCTCAACATTTTTCCCCCTAGACGGTCCTCAACCTCGTTTCTTTGTGGTAAAAGCTCCTGCACAAACAATAATAACAGATGTTAGCCCACCATATTAAGAAAACAATGTTTAGAAAATAAAGTATGCATCAAACCTGTAATGCTAGCCTCAATGCCTATCAGAGGCTGTGTTGTAGGTGCATCCGATGACATAGCCCTAACATGTGCACTCGATGATGCACCCCTAGTAGGTGCATCAGTGGATGCAACCCTACTAGCTATTGTGCTGGCTCAACAACCTGGTCCCATTTACATACGACACCTGAAATATAGAAATATATAAGTTATATCGACAATATCCAAGTATGAACTTTATATATAAGTCATAATTTATTAATTACCATGAAAATAACTTAATAATTCATCTACATATCTGACTCTTCATCAGAATCAAAATGGGAATGCACATCATCATCTTCTTCTGAATCGACATACTCCACTTGTGCCTCATCATTGTCATCACTTATGAAATCATCAATGTTATTGTCTTCTCTGCTTCCCCAATGGACAATCCGATCTCTTGGAATGATTTTTGGATGAAGATCAGTCCTATAAAGTTGACCTATTTCGTTATCTTCGACTACTACAGGAGCAACCTCTGTTGATTCATCCTATTGGAATGCATCACTTGGAACATATGATTCATTTTCACTAACTCCTATATCTTCCAACTCAAGAACATCTCATATTCCTCGATGATGTATGTGTTGCACAATTTGCCAATCCCTACCCAATTTTGTATCATTAACATAAAATACTTGTTTCACCTTATCAGGTAGGACAAAAATGTCATTTTCATACCATCTACTTTTCACATTAATGCTTGTAAAATAAGCATTAGTCTGAACTGTTTTCCCACTACCAAGGTTGAACCATTCACATTGGAACAAAAAAATACTATGGCCAAATATGTAACTCATCTCTCACACCTTATTTAAGTATCCGTAGAAGTTAATTGTTTTGTTATTATGTTCTTCTACAACTACCCCACTGTTTTGGCTTTTTCGACGATTATCACGCTCTTTAGTGTGGAACCCGACACCATTGCATATTGCCCCAGAATGCAATTTTATTGTCACATCAGGACCGTTTGCTAGTGACCACAATTCATCAGTTGCTTCATGTGACCCTTCGCCTCGTAACTGATTCATCTACACACATGCATATGAAAGTTTTTATGGTTTTACAAACTAATGCAAATAATGCTTATAATCTAAATTTGTATAGCTTACACGTTTTGCAAACCACTTGGAAAATTCTACTTGGTGGCGACGAGTGATGTCACCATTTTTTCAACTCTAATATATTTTTGTGTTCCCTACATATAAAACCATAAATTTGACACATAAAATATTTTAAACAATTACAAAGTACAATAAGAATGCTCACAAATATGTATATTTAACATACACATACTCTAGATAGGGATCTAGTTTGGGACTATTATGTAGGACAAACCAATGAGCCATCTTTCGTTCCTGTTGAGAGACCTCAGTTGCTCTTATAATTCGCCCAAAAGGACGAACATTTTGGGTGAACACAACTATCTCACGCACATTTTCAACTCAATCTGCATTTCGTTCCTCGCGATTAAAAACTGTTTTGATACCAGTAAGATACATCGAGCTAAAGGTAAGACATTCTTTGACAATATAGGCCTCTGCAATTGAACCTTTTGGACGAGCTCGATTACGAACATATCCTTTTAAAGTTCCGAGATACCTTCAATAAATCACAAAACATATAAGGAGATAATAACAAAACCAAATGAGAAGCTAATAACAATTTAAAATATAACCTTTCCACTGGGTACATCCACCGATACTGAATTGGTCCAGTAATCTTAGCTTCCCTTGGCAAATGAACTATTAAATGCACCATAACATCGAAGAATGCTAGTACAAATATTTTTTCTAACTTACAAAGAATAAGTATTATGTTATCTTGTAGTGCATCCTAGTCTTTTACCATCAATGTCTTTGCACAAAGTTGTTAAAAAAATTTTTTTAGCTCAAATAAAGTGATACAAATTTCCTTGTCCAAGTAACCACGAATTCCAAGTGGAACAAGTCGTTGCAGTAGAACATGACAATCATGGCTTTTCAGGCCTGATACCTTACCAACCTTCGTGCTCACAGACCTCGATATATTTGCTGCATATCCATCTGGATACTTAACTGGTTTCAAAAATTCACTGAACCCTTGTCTTTCTTTTGGAGACAAAGTGTACCACGCAGTTGGTTTTACATATGACTCTCCATTCTTTTGGTGGTGCAATTCTTTTCTGATATTTAGGTCCTCCAAATCCAAACGAGCTTTATTTGTGTCCTTATTCTTGCCATCAATACTCAACAACGTGCCAAACAAACTATCACATATATTCTTCTCTATATGCATGACATCAAGGTTGTGTCGAATCTTAAGCACATGCCAATACAGTAACTCAAAAAAAATGCTCTTCTTTATCCAATTAAATTCCTTAGATGGCCACTTTCTTTTTGATTGTTTGGATGTTTCCCGAATTGCACATTTGGTAAACACTCCAATTGATCTAAAATATCTTGCCCCGATAACTCAGAAGGTTTGAATTTTTCTCAATCTTACCATTAAATAACTTACTTCGTCACCAGCTGTGATCTTGCGGCAAGTAACGACGATGGCTTGTGTAGCCTATTTTGCTTCTTAATGGCTGTGATAATGCATCAAAATTACAAATGGGGCATGCCTTGTAACCTTTTGTACTCAATCCAGATAGGTTACCATAAGCAGAAAAATCATTTATGCTCCACATCAGAGCTGCACGCATTTGAAATGTCTGTTTGGTACATGCATCAAAAGTTACAACATCATCCCACAATTCTTTCAACTCATCAATTAACGGGCGCAAATATATGTCAATCTCCTTCCTGGGTGCCTGTGGTCCTGGAATAAGCAATGACATCATGAAGAATGGATCGCTCATACATTTCTAAGGAGGCATGTTATAAGGCATCAAGATCACAGGCCACATACTGTAAGAGTTACTCATGCTCCCAAAAGGGTTAAAACCATCAGTGGTCAATCCAAGCCTAACATTACGAGTGTCCTGAGCAAAATCAAGATATTGCTTATCAAAGTCTTTCCATTCTTCAAAATCACTAGGATGCCTTGAATAATTCTCATCATCCACTCGTTTCTCTTGGTGCCACCTCATATCTATAGTTGTCTTCCTTGACATAAACAATCTCTGTAACCTTGATTTCAATGAAAAGTATCTCAAGATCT